TTAGTAGTAAATACATATTAAATAATGATTATCTTGGATTTAATTTTTAGAAAAATGGATTAAAATATTTAATTACAACAAAACTTAATAAAATTCCTGTGACACGACACGATGAGGTTGGAGAGAGATGGGAGGATCATATCCTTTCCTTATATCAAAAGAGCGAAAATTGTAGCCTCAGCTGAGGCTATTGATAAGAATGAATTTATGATTGGCTATAAATGTCTGAATAAATTTAATAACGTCATAAAGAGACATAAAGATAGAGATCTGGATAATTATAATAATAATGTCGTTTACAAAATTAATTGTAAGAATTGCGATGCTTCTTACGTGGGTCAAATGAAGAGGTAATTGAAAACAAGAGTGATGGAGCATAAAAATGAATGAATCGAGATATAAGTAAGCATTCTGTTATTACTGGTCATATGTTAGAACATAATCATACGTTTGAATGATCTGACGTAAACATTCTAAATAGAGAAAATAACTATTTCAAGAGATTAATATCTAAAATGACCATATCAAAGTACAGACTAATTAATGCCAAAGAAAACACGGCACTTTTAAATGAATCTTTTTTCAATATCTTTCATAGGATCTGTAATAACGACTATTGAATGTTTATCTTGTCGATTTTATATGTTAATGTGAATGTCATTTAATATCGGATCATGTTTCTTTTGCCACTTCGTACACGACTGCCGTTAAGATCAGAAGCATATATTTCACATGTAAGTTGCTTTGTCATACTTTCAGATGTATAGATTGTAACCACAAATTGTAATTTAATTCTAAATTTATTATCACATTAATTGTACTTCATTTCTAAATTTAAATTAATATAAATTACCAGCCTCATATTAAACTTTTGCAACATCAAGAGAATGTTTTAATCGAATAAATACTACAGTTCATCGACATATTTCGAATTTTCATTATGTAAGACTTTCAATTGACTATCAATTGACTATTAATGTAACATACTTGCGACTGAAGAAGACTCAGTAAAGTCGAAACTAGTTTTGCTAGATTAATGTAAATCGAACATTAAAATTATTTTAATTATATTACAACATCTTATCGCTCGTCTTTGGCCGTCAATTTTTATATATAATTCTCTTATTGTGTTTTCAATAACAAACAAGATATTATTGATCAAATAAATTTTTACTCAATAAAAAAATAATAATTAAATAAAATTAATGATTTTTATATGAAATAAATATATTTACAGTTAATAAATATTTATTTAGATTTATTCAAACAAGTATTTATTAAACTTTAGTATTTTCAGTTTAAAATCGTGCACTTCTGGGGTTCGATTGTGCATCACACAACTTGAAAATTACAAAAATGAGCAAATTGATTGTTAGATATGTTGATCAATAAAATTATAAATATTCTAGCAAATTCGCTTATTTTTATAATTTTCATCATCTAAACTCTTTATGTAGTCATTACAAGCATTATTGATTTCCGTTATTTTAAGGAGATTTCTGTTAAAACGCTAAATAGGAGATATAATGAAATAATAAAACAAACAATGATAAACAATAAAATAATAATAAATGGATTATAATTGAATCGCATGTCGTGTTCGTGGCAGTAATAGAAAAGGTCCGTTTATAATCGAACGTCTTTCATAACAACATCCAGGAATATCAAAATGGAATTGAAAATATTTTTTAAAAATATTTTCGTCTGACTTTGTCGCGGTAATTTGTAATGATATCTCAAATAGAAGAAAATAAAATAATATATAGAATTAACTTAAGATAAAATAAAATAGATAAATTGGAATTCTTTATAGTAACTCTTCATAAAAAATCTACTACGTCTGTCAATTCTATTAAATTTTCGTTTTTAAATAAATAAATTTACTGATGCAAGTATTTTTTAAAAAAGATAAAGAAATGAAGAGAAATTTCGGAGAAAAATCCCAAAATAATTGATAACTCGTATAAATATATTTGCGATTAAAACTTCAGTTTCAACATATTTTTAACAATTTCGCTTTAATAATTGGCTATGTTTGTTAAAATAATGCATTCAAGCATGAAAATCTTTTCTTTAATCTTTTTTATTTTATAATTTCATCAAATAGCAATTTCGATAGAAAGTTTTTTTAATTTTTCCATATAATTGAATCCTTCACCGTAATTTCGAAAGTTAACTTTTAACGCGCCTAACTTTAAATTCCTCTCTTTATTTCCTTTTTTTCTCTCTCTCCTCTCGAAATCTTGGACGCGCGTGTCATATTTTATCAATCATGTTTTCAGTCTTGCATTTTCGACATCGATGGGATTAGTAAACCCGATTACTATACCCGATAAATGCGTATCAACTCGTTTCATTTCTCGATACTTCGAATTATTTGATCTGATGACCTTTTCTAATTAATGAATTAAATTCGCAATGAGCAAATCGCGTTGTCGCCGCGGCGCTTTGTGATTTCGATAGAACGCCACTTTGCGGCGGCGACGACCATAACAAATTATTTGATACGCACAGTGCGGCCAATAATGCGCATCGTTTGTTCTTCCAATTAGTGGATTGTGAAACGGACTACGCGTGGCGAGTTTAACTCGTGATGGGCTTCATTTTTCATTTAGTTCTCTCTAGCCCTCTCCCCATCGCCAATGTACTTGCATCCGATGTCTGTATTCCTTTCGCTGACCTTTTTTTATTATACTACTTCTCCATCAGGACGGAAGGAATCTTAGTATTCCTGGTATTCCGGTTACTTTTGCATTGCATAGTAAATTAATAGACACAAAGTTCGTTTAAATACATTCTAAAAAAATGTTGGTATTGATTTGACATTATTTTTTGTTTTTCTGTATAATTTTTTTTTATTCTTATTTTATTTTTCTTTTTATATAATTATAATTCTTATCACATATTGGAGTTAATATTAATAAAAATAATTTTTATTGTCTGATTTTTGTCGCGATAATTTGTAATGATGTCTCAAATAGAAGAAAATAAAATAATATAGAATTAACTTAAGATAGAATAAAATAGATAAATTGGGATTCTTTATAGTAACTCTTCATAAAAAATCTACGTCTGTCAATTCTATTAAATTTTCGTTTTTAAATAAATAAATTTACTGATGCAAATATTTTTTAAAAAAAGATAAAACATGGAGAGAAATTTCGGAGAAAAATCTCAAAATAATTGATAACTCGAATAAATATATCGCGATTAAAACGATTATTAATATTTTTAATATTAATAATAATTCACATTATATTGGTGTTACATTAATAATAAATAAACAAAATTAAAAATAAAAAAATGAGAAATTAAAAAATAGAATAGAATAATGAAAACATAAACATAACATCAGGAAGACATCAAATAATTATCAAATAATTATCAAATAATTATCAAGTATGTTGCTAACGCGCCATCAAAAATGGATGAGTAAATAATATCAAGAAATAAAAAAATCACTGTTTACTTTATCATGATGTAAAATTGTGCGGAAAAAGGAAAAAAAGAGATATACTTATAAACTTGAAATATATGGAACAAGAGAATAAAAAAACGTAAAATCCATCGATTGAACATTTGCAAATAACGTCAAGATTATCAATACTGTCGAGGTACAACACTATTTTCAGCAATTTTCTAATTTCAGTAAATACAAAAATCTTGCGAATTCCTATGATATTTTTTATTTTTTACATGATATTTTCATCTTCAAATACCGATCAAGAACGCTGCCATAATTAATAGTTCGATAATAATTAACAATCGCTAATAATCGCTAACAATCGCTAATTGACAATTGATTTTCATTTTGACAAAGTATTTGACGGCGCAATCACCAACTACACACAGAAAAATGATTCTATTCCTCAGAAAAGTGATTATTCAATTTACTTTTTTCCTTTTATATCTTTAACAAAGAATTTTTTCTTGATAATAATCTTAAAATATACCTATTATTAAAATATATCAAATTTTAGAAAAACTCACATCATATATTCAAAACAGAAATTTATTTCTTTTCGAAGGATATTATAAAATTGATCAAAGAAGCGACTTTGTGTTATAAGCAAATCAAATTTGTTTTAATTTAATAATCTTTGATTAAACTTTAATTAAACTTATTAGGGAGTTCTGAATATATTTTAAATAAATTTAATGCTTTTATCAACTTATAGTAAATTTGCGGATACATGAACTTTTGAAATATTTAAAACATGTCATTATTACTTGTGTATATATTTTTCTGTGCCTATTTTCGGGCAGTACTTCCCTGACAATCAAACATTCTCTTGTGAGAATTGTCACTCGATTTTAACGCTCTTTTCAAGACGAAGAAAAAATTTTGTGTATGCAGATTGCATTAATTAATTTACTTTAAATAAATAGGTGATTTAAAATATGCAAATTAGTAAGGATGCTCAGAATCCTAAAAGAATTTAATTTTATAGCCATTTATTTTTTATTATTATATTATATTACATATTTAAATTTACTTTAATCCTTATTATTATATCCTCCTTATTATAAATTTACTTATATTCTTATAAGATAAAATAACGTAAAAATAATGAACTTTAAGACTTCTGAATATTTGGACAATACTTTTATTTTTTTTTTTCAGACTAGAGAAAATTATACCGGAGGTACATTGTGGACACTCTACCCAATTAAAGATTAATTATATTTTCTATTAATATATTTACACTTATATATTATCAATAAATAAATTTCATATTATGAAAGAATTCTGGGACGTGCATTTGAATACGGGCATGCCAATAAAGAATAAACTTGCCAGAATCGTTTCATAGTATGATTATTTATTGATAATAAAAAAAATAGATAATAAAAGATAGATAATAAAAGAAATATAACAAATTGATTCTATAGGATTAGAGGTTGCATCAATTTTTTATATTTCTCTTATTTTTCAAATCACTAAAATTAATAAAAGTTTTATAGCAGTTTTATAAATTTATTTTTACTCTTGTTCCCAGATTTAGAACGATGCTGTCCGTACAAAGCACAATTGCCCTGGCATTAATGCTCTTCGTCTTGGCGGAATACTCGGCAGCGATGCCGACGATCGACAAAGACAAGGCCAGAATTTTGAACAACGTGAATGTAAGTAAAAAGATAAAATCTCGCGATTCTTCGAAAAGATCAGTGTGAGCCGGAAGAACTTGATGTATTTATGCAAAATATTTTTGTAATCTCACTTTTAAGAAACAATCGTTTTTTAGAATTATATTCGATGTTCGATGAATAAAACAAACTCCAAAGCTTTGAATTTATGAAATGATAAATCCGCGAACGAATCCGCTTCGAATCTCAAGAGATCGTCTTTGAATTTATTTATATTTTCCTGTTCAAACTCTCACCGCACGATTTTTATTTTCGTCGTAATCATACAGGGGTCTAACATACCTCATACATGTTTAAGGACCGGTTATTCCATCTTCAAATAAATTATATGATAATTTACCTATTAGATAAACAAAACAATAAAAGAGTAAGAGCATAAAGAATAAGACTGAGTTTATCAAAGGATGAAATAACCCAATCTGTCTTTCTAATTTTTTAGATAATTTAAAATGCACCGATTAAAGTAATTATGTAAAATTGTAAAATCTTTGTTCTAGAGAGTCTATAGAATAGCTCCATATAAATAAAGTCGACAATTGTAAATTTCAAAAAATATTTAACAATAGAGAATAAAAATAAATTTTTCAAATTTACAAAAATCACAAAAAAATCTTTTTTTTTTCAAAAAATTATTAATTATAATTGATATAGAGATAAATATAAAAAAAAACTAAGGAATGAACAGTAAAATTTCTGGTTTCTACAAATACTGCACGAGTTTCAAGCAAAAAGAATATATTTTTCATTTCACATTAAATAACCACATTTTTTTAAACAATTCTGACGATTTTTTTTTAAATCATCTTTTTGAATTGTGATAATTTTTTAAGAGTATGCCACACTCGTACTGTAAGGCATGTTTTTACAATATATGATTACTTAAAAATTAAAGATTACCGAGAGATTCCTTTAATGAAATTCATTCATGAGTTTCTTGATAACTTTTCAACTTTTAATTACTTTAGATAATCATATGATTATTATGAAAACAGACTTAAGTGATTAATTTTATTGAATAATTGACGAGATACTGCCGGAGCTTCCGGATTCGCTAAATCGCGAACTATGGTGGTCCTGTTCGCCCCCGATGATGGAAAAAAGGGATGGATCTAGATTGCTCGAGAGCCTATCAAAGTCCCGATCTCCAGTGACACATCAAAAATAAAACGAGAGAAAAGAAGAGAGGGGAGAGAGAAAGAGAAAAAAATGAAAAAGACAAGTCCTGATTTTTTTTCACGTAGGATTGCATAGAACTTCCAATCCGACCAGATTGACGAGGGTGCAAAATGGACACGGTAAGGGATCCACCTGTCAGAAACGTTCCTTTCTCCGTCGCTTTGTAATAAAACAGGGCGAGATTGGAAAACGATCAGAACGGATATCGCTGCCGCGAGATTACAAGTCCGACGCGAAAGTTTGTCGACATTTATATGGAATTCCTCAACCACTCGCAATCTCGATTAAGCTACGTTCTATTCTTAAATTCTTTACATTTTTTCGATAAATCATGCCTATTTCAATAAAGCCCTAACAAATCTTGATTCTACTATTTGCTTATAGCAAATTGGGGCGCATTGATGCATATTGAGGCCATTGTTATTAAACTGATTAATCTGAATGTAAAAGGCAAATTCAAAAATACATATTTTATTTAAAATACAATAATTATATTATTAATATTTTTATTAAAATATATTGAGGATTTCACGGTTCAACTATTTATATATTTATATTAAACACACATCTTTACGTCAATTTATATTGGCTGATATTACGGCTTTAATATTTACTAGTGCGCACTGAGGACGCAATTGAATTCGCTATTAGACTCTTACATTATTACAATAAATTCATGTAATCCAGCAAGCACAAAGTAACTGTAATGTCAATTTCACACTCTATATAATAATTTATTATGTACGACGTGTACATATTCATATTATATTCAAAGTGTGAAATTATAATACTGCATTATGTTACTGTTTCAGAAAGTTTTCAAAAAATTAGGTAAAAAAATTACTTGTAAATTTTTATTTGAAACAATAGTTTGTGAAATAATAAGACTTTAAATATAGTTAATTACAGAGCTGAAGTGCGTGCTTATTAATACATGAAGATAATTTTGTTTTAAAATTATCTCGAAAATGGATATTTTCCATTTGATGAAACAAGTCGACATAAATCGACACAACCGTCGTTCTATCCTTGTTGACATTCAGAGAGTGACAAAGATAGAACAATACTTGTGTCATCAAATGGCAAGGTACTATAACTACTCAATATGGTAGTTATAGTACAATACAATATTTTTACTAAGCACTTCAATAAAATTAATCAAACTTATTTTAAACTTTATTATTTTATTAACGAATTTTATTAATAAATGAGAGAGATTTATATTAAAATTCTTGGAAATAAACAATGTTATCCCAAGACTATCATATTTTCAGGATAAGCTCTAAGAACAAATTCTCTCCGTGTACTATTCATGGCCATGTAAACGTAATCTTTCTGTAATTGATTATATTTAAACTCTTATATCTCAAAAACTATTGATTGAAATAAATGTACATAATTTTTTAACATACTTTTTTGAACTTTTTTACTGTGGTATTCTGATTCGTGATTTTTAGGACACCTGTATACGTCTTTGTTTTTATTTAATTTAAAAAAAGTTCCTGCGAAATTCTTCAAACAAGGGCCGTTTGTGTGGCAAAAGCAACGTTACTAAAATCAAAGTTAAATTAAGATATTCAACGGGATGACCCGTTTGTTAAAGCGGAGTTTAAAAAATGTGGGCGAGCGTTTTGCGTAAGCATTGAACTTTCTTGCGACTTTATCGAAGAATAGTGAAGTAAGGAAGGATCAAGAAAAAAGAAAAGAAAAATGTTTGCCATTCCCACAAGAATCGCAACTACGTGCATAGTGTCGTTACGCAACTCGTTTCCTCCACGATCATCTCTCTCTCTCTCTCTCTCTCTCTCTCTCTCTCTCTCTCTCTCTCTCTCTCTCGCATTCAATTTGAAATTTCACTTTGAGACTTCTAAGCGCTCGTAATAAAAATATAGTTGTTGATTATCAGAAAATGTGAACTGAAGCTAAAGCGAGAAAAAAATGAAAAAAATGTGAGAAGACTTTAAACGTCGCAAAATCGACAATCAAAGGATCCCATATCGATAAATCGTTATGCTGTTATTTGATTTTCCGAGGAGAATTTCCACGCTACAGCATCTCGTTCCGCTTTCGTTAAGCCGTAGTCATACTAGCGATTGTCATTGTTGAAGATATATTCCAGACAGTGTTAAGACGTAATTACACTACGCAGTTGTGACTGATAATTGGCGATTACTTTTCGATCAATTGCGATTAATGATTACTTTTTAACCTCCACCCAGAGAAAAGTTTTTTTTCGATTTAAAGAAATATTTCTTTGTTATACTTTCTTTGTTAAAGAAAAAATTTTTTTGATTTGAATAATTTTTTTAAATCAAATGAATTTTTTTATTTGATTCGAAAAAATAATTTAAATCAAAGAAATAATGTTTAAATCGAAGAAGTTTTTTTGGATTGGAATTTAACCAATCAGAAGAAAGACAATCTCAAGATCAATGAACTTTGCTCTGATTAATTAAATTTAAATCCACGACATTATTTTTTAAGCAATTAGGGCAAAGTAATCAGAACAAAGCTGATTGCTTTGCCCTAATTAGTTGAAAAGTAATCATCGTAGATATGAATTTAACTAATCAAAGCAAAGTTCACCGACCTTGAGATTGGTTGTCTTTCTTTTAATTGTTTAAATTCCAATCCAATCTCAATCTCAATCTTTGATCCGATCACGACTTAAAGTCGTAATTATACGATTCCGCGATTATGATTAACGATTATTTTTCAATCAATTGGAGCAAAGCAATTGATGACTGGTTTACTTTGATTGGTAGAAAAGTAATCATCAATTCAATTAGCAATCGCTAATATGATTATGGCTTTATGACAAAACGACAATGAACGGCGATATATGATAAGAGAGGGAAAAGAGCGGATGGGAAATTATATAAAAACGTTGATGCTTTTTTTCCAAGCTTCTCATTTGCAAAAGAAATGGTTCAAAGAAATTATATTATTCGTTGCGTAACTGAGCGGCGCGTCCTGAATCGCAAATGATGAGGGTGCAGGATGGCATGTAGGTGACTACCCTGATGAATGTTCGTTTGAATGTAGAAATCGAGAAAGAAAGGAAGAAAGAAAAAACAACACCGATCATCCGTCTTTCAATAGGCGAACGTTACAACGCGACGTGCAATACATGTTTTATAAAAAGTAATACCTTGTTCAATGTAATTTAGATTCATGTTTCCTACTAGAAATAAGAAAGATATCGTATAAAAAAAATAAGAACAAGAAGAGAGAGAGAGAGATTTTATTATTTATTGACATATCTTTGAATATATACGCTCGCATTTGTCTGACATGAATATTTATCATTGTATTATAGTTTATTTGAGGCAATATTTTTCCCAATAAATTAAATTATTTATAATTCTCAAAATGCTTAGATTAATATCAAATTATTACTGTCCTTTGAAGATGCTTATTAGCATAAAAAATTATTAAATTGCTTATCAATTTAATATGTGATATTACCGAGTTAGAAAAGCTATTTTATAAGTTATTTATAAGTTACTTTTATAGATTACTTATATATAATTTTTATAGAAATTGAGTACAAACAGCAATACAAAATTGGAGCAAATAATAAAATATAATATAAAAAATAAAATATCCGAATTTATTGTACTCAATTTTTACAATAAAAAATAACTTATAAGTAACTTATAAAGTGACTTTCTCAATCCTGGATATTATTATTTTAGTTCTACTTATGCGTTGCAAGACTGAAAACAGTTTATTTCTCTCAATTTAATTTATCAAATTGATTTATTTTCGTCGATCTACAATAACAGTAGTTGAAATTGTAATCAATAAACGTGTCAAAGATTTAAAAGTGTTAAAAAATTGTTTCCACTTATATTTTTATTAAACATTATTTTGAAGCTGAAATAAAAAAAATGGAAACCAGAAAATTTCAGACGTAACTACGTTTTCCATTCATGGCAAGAATTTTGTCACGATCACGTGAAACCATAAAAAAAGTCAAGACCGCGGAAAGAAATAAAGAAAAATAATCAAGAAAGCATGGAAGTGACGACGGCCAATAAATCTACGGGTTGCAAACCGATAATCGATAAATTGTCGACGACAATCGGATTTTTGCAGCGCTCTCTCTCCACCCACGTTAAATCTGCATGCACAGGGGTTTAATCCTCTCTGCATCCTCTCTGATTTATCAGCTTCGCATCTCAAACTGATGGGTATAATAATTTGACATTAAGAATTTAATCAAGAATTTAATCAATCCTAGAGAGAAAGAAATTTTTTTAATATTAATCAAAAATTTAATTTTTTTTCTTGGAAAATTGAAAAATTTAAATTTATATTAAAATATTTTTTGTACAGTTCTGGGTTTTTTTTTTCTTAAAGAAATGATGAATCTGCCACAGTCGATTTTGGAGATTTTCGATATTTTCATAAGGTGTGCGAATATACAAGTCCAAAATCCAGACAATTTTCAATTTAAATTTTCCGCTATATTGTACTTCCGCTAGAGGTTGTTGGCGTCTGAGAAAGTCTGATGCTTCTAGTAAATATATTCTCAAAATGGCCGCGATATTGAAACCAAGTGCGGAGTATAATCGAAGAGCCGCAATCACCGAAGACCTTCGTGCTGGACACTTAGCAACGGAAATAATTCGATTCGTTATGGCAAAATATACGGCTTTAGAACAATCCGAACGAAGGTTCCAGTGTCAGCGAGGAAGAAAGAACACATCGCAAGGACTCCCGCAGTCGTTGAAAGGGCTCAAACGCTAATTTCGAATGACCTAGGGCAATCATTGTAAAAATTAGCATCGATTGTTGATGTAAGCGAGCCAGCAATGCAAGATCCTCTTCGATACAAATCGTACACATTAAAGATACAACAGATGCTCTCTGAAGCTGCCAGGAGCAACCGAGTTGCTCACTTCGGCTCCCATTCTGGCCTCCCAACAGCTCAGATTAAATCCCTTGGACTATTACATATGGAGCGTATTTGAAAAGCTCACAAGTCTCGGCATCCCAATATGACGTCATTAAGGACCGCTATTGAGGCAGCATTCGTCGGCATGGACAACGCTACATTACAGCGTGCGTGCGAACGCTTCAGACCGAGAATAGAGATTGTCATTCAAGCTAATGAGGGATATATCGAATAATTGTGCTCTATAGGGATCCCCCAAGTGCCATATAAAAAGATTTTTTGTAATATTTAATTTTTCATTAAAAACATTTTGTTTAAAGAAATTGTTCGATTTGTCCGGATTTTGATGACGCACCCTGTATATATACATTAATTATACTCGTATGATATTTAAATCGAATTTTCCGAGAAATACGCGCGAACAATTGACCCGGGAAAGTTTTCTAATATAAAATTGCATAAAGCGCTGTAATAATTTTGTAAAGAACAGGGACATGAGGAAAAAAAGAGAAACGATCGAGAGAAAATTTTCCATACGAAATCATGCGATATCGCGCGAAACAAGCTCGTTGTGTATCGCTCTTGTACATTACAATTTACTAAACTGTTAGGACTTCACTCCCTCGCTCGTCTTATGACTTACTCCCTCATATCGTTTAGGTATCCAAAGGCTTCTTCGATATACCGGCTTTTATTTCTACACTACAGGGTGCGTTCGAAAAGTGACGGAACTTCGAAGAAGTTGTGGTCTTTTCATTAAATAATCAAAAGAAAATCTAATGGAAAGAATAATCGATACTATAAGAAAAGGTGATATTCATAAACCGAACTTTTATTTAAGATCCTCATAAGATTCTCATAAGGTCCTCATAAGATTTTAAGCTCACTGAATTAAGCCCGCGTCTTTATTATATCCGAATGAATCCATATAAATTATGTGCGGAACACAATTGCGCAATAAAAGCGACGAGGAAAGCTAAAATAAATGTCAATAGAACCATCTATGACCAACTGGAGCCATCGACAATAAATACAATAGTTTACCCACCTCTCTCTCTCTCTCTCTCTCTCTCTCTCTCTCTCTCTCTCTCTCTCTCTCGCTCGCTCTCGCTCTCTCTCTCACTCTCTTCATCTCATCTCAACTCCCGACGACAGTTTACGCCCCATTACGCGCTAACGAAAAAGCGCACTCGCCTTCGCTTGTAATATGCCACGAGTGAGTACTTTTCACTTTTTATTATTAAAGCATTAATGGGGGATAATCGTATTTCTCCATGTACGTTTTCTGTTGAAATCGTGGCGCATCATACTGCGACGCGTTGTCGGTTTTACACGGATCGCATTTGACTTATTATTATTTTAAAGCTTGTTTACCATGAATAAAGTTATGTATAAACATTAAAACATTATTCTATCAAAAGTGAATTTAATTTCATAAACATTTTATGGACTTAGCTTCATAAAAAATTCTCAAAATGTCATAACTTAAAAAGAATGGTTTTTAAGGATAATAAGTAATTGAAAACGAAAGTGACGAAAATATATTTAATCATATATATAAAATATATTTTACGAACATATTCTTTGCCGATATATTATTTGATTAGTCAATAATTTTCTATCAAATTGAAAAAGTTTTTCCCCTTTTCTAGGAACTTAATTTTTTTAACAATATTAAATAAAATTAAGTGAAACTTTTTAAATTGTCTTGTTTAAATATATTTTATCTAAATAATTATTGTCTATTAAAATCATTAATATTATTAATAAAATAAATTATTATTAATAAAATATTAATATTACTTTGAGGACATTTCGATTTTTTTAACTATCAACATATAGTCTGTAAGAGTATATTCACAAATAATAAACGCATAGCCGCATAAATATATATTTCTCCTATAAAAACGCACATAAAATGTGATTGAATAATTTTCTTTATGCATACATTTATACGAGTTTGTGGATATACACCCTTAACTCTTTATAACCTATAATACACCCTTAACTCTTTATAACCTGTAATAGTTTTTAAAGACTCTTCATCGCAAAATATAATCGAGAAGAAGAAAAAGAGACTACGGCTAGGTTTCACCTTTCGGTAAACTTTAGCTCACTGTTTTAAGATCATTGTACGTAAAAGTATTAGTCGTAACCGTAAGATCATAAAAAGCGATAAATTAATTGGTTACGAGACAAGCGATAAGTCACGTGACTGTCTTCCAATTGATTAGTCATAAAAATAAGGTATTAATCGCAATCTTTCGACGGAACGAAAACATGTATCTATGATTATGACGTTTTCATGTTGCTTCTGCACAGAGAATGCGACAATGTTTGACCCTAACACAGTATCCAATCAATTTATCGCTTTTTATGGTCTTACGATTACAATTACGACTTTTACGTGCAATAGTCTTTACTCTCTTACTCTCTATATACTCTATATACTCTCTATACTTTTACTCTTTTACTCTTTTGTTTATCCAGTAAGTAAATTACATAGTTGTGTATCTGAAGATGTAACAATCAGTCTTACATGGACTAGAGTTGCGATAGATCTATCCTTGGTTTACATTTTCAAATTTTATCTTTTTAATTGTAGTCTCTTCTTTTTACATTATAAAAAGACTTTCATAATTACGCAAATTAAATTACAACTCATCCCGATTTATCCAGAAAAGCATTAGCTAAAAAAAGAAAAGCATTAATTAAAAAAGGAAAAGAAAAAAACAATAGCTGGATTTTCGATTGTTTCAGCTGGTGGACGACGACGGCAGCATCGACAAGGCTCTGATGAATTACTTATTCACCAAACAGATCGTGAAATACTTCCGTAATCAGATGAACGTCAATGACTTGCAGCGCAAACGGAACTTCTGGAGGCAGTGCTCCCTCAATGCAGTGGCTTGCTTCGGTAAATAGGCACGCAGCAAGACGGAGGAAAAATCAGGCGAGAAAGAGAGAGAGAGAGAGAGAGAGAGAGAGAGAGAGAGAGACGCAAAGAGAGAAGATCGTTACGTTCGCGTCATCGCTGGAAAGTTCAGAAAACTCCCGTAACACAATGGGATACATTCCAAAATCTACTCATTGATTAAAGTAAGGTTGAGCTTAAATATGGAATGGCTGACATTCATGATTGGTATTTATTTCCAGATATATAACGGTTATGTTATATTACATTATTGAGTGAGATATTATAATGAAGACACAACACTTCTTAAATAATGTTTCCCGCGGAACACGATCAAGCAGTAACATTAATATTACAATTTCTCACTGAACAATATAAATGTAATATAACATATGTTGTATTATAATTGTATGAATAGTTACATTATAGAGTAGGAAATTGTAACATTTAAATGACGTTAAGATGCCAATATGGCTTGAAATAAGAATCGAACATGAATAGCAATTGATGTCTTAAGATTGTATTTAAGACATTTTAATTCTTTGGTACCACTGCTGCAATGTGACATACCTACTCGAGATTTTTTTTAGTTTGCCATCCCAAACAGAACAATAAGTAATTATGATATTAAAATGACTAAAATAATCTTTTATATATTAAAAATCATTTTTCAATCATTTTCGATTGTTTTTAATGTCATGTGTTTTTGACGTTATTGTAACTTATTGTTATGTTTGAGATGCTATAATTTTTTTTTATTTAATAAAGATATCCATATTGAATAAAAACGTGCAGTAATATTGCAGTGCAATAATACTGTGTTATTGCTTACAATTGCATTATATTTTGTATTAATTTTTTACATAATATTTATGTTACTTTCTAATAAATTCATCTTCTGTGAAACTAATACAAAAATTCGAGTGAACTGTTTAAACATGTATTAAATTTATCACATTTTCAACTGTGTTTTTTGACAGTCCAATAAAATTATTTTCAGAGATCTGTGTCTATAACTAAATTTTTAATACTTTAACAAAAAATACTTTAACAAAATTATTTTTTCATATCTTCTTATGTCGGTCATTTCAATTAAAAAAAGTTGTTATAATACATCGATTTTTATACGATATTTTTCTGTGGTAGATAGATGACAAAACAATGTAAAGTGGCACCAAAAGATTAAATATAAGAATCGATTACGAATAACACTCAATCTTACTTTACTCGACGGATACGTATATTTCCGAACACACTCCTGAGGAATCCGCGTGGAAGGAATCAGCTCGCGCTGATGAAAAACGCAACGCGATTCGATTTCAATAGCAATTATTTGTCAATTTGATAATAATAATTATGATTTATCGCCGTTACGTAACTTGACGCACGTATTCCTGATCCGTTTTACGCGACGAAATTCGTTTAATGAAATAATTCAACATATGAAATAATCTCCGACCGCAAGTAATCTATTTAATCGGAGACACTGTGAAAAATGTGTTTGGCGATGAAAATCCGGGTTCCAAGGCAATAAAAAGTTGAATAAGTTTTAAAAACCACACGTTCTGCAGCGTATTTCGTCGGAAATCGACTCTTCCTCGAACTTTCCACGTATAACGTAACGTTTGTTAAAAAATTACAAAAATGCAGCCGGAAATGAATGACACGAATAAAAAGCACGACAGTATAGATTATATAAAAATCGATGCGCAAGTGATCTCTATGTTAAAATAAGGCATAGTAAATAAATATTATGGAAATGAATCGGCCGAAAATAAATATTGCGAATAAAAGATATGATAAGATACGATAAGAGTGTAAAGGAAACATCATAGTTGCGCAAATGGTCTCTGTCAAAAAAAAACGACGCAAATTCGAAGATCCGATCGTTTGAGTCTTTTCTAAAAGTAAATCAGTGACTTTAGTGCTATTTATAACTGATGTAATCATCAGCGAATATTTATACTGTTTTTCAGTAATAATATTGATTCAGAGAGCGATTCAACAATTGCGTCAAGTACAGATTTCTATAGAAATACTTAAAGCGTTATTCTAAATTTTTTGCGTTATTCTAAATAATGAAATCTCACTCCAAAAAAGTGAAAATATAACCACCCTTCTCTTCTTGAAAAAAAAAGTGAAAATTCGCTCTAATAAGAGCGAAAATTGTCATTTTTTTCAAGAAGTGAAATACTTTCACTTTTTTCAAGAGTGGTTATATTTTTACTCTCTTGGAGTGAGATTTCACTGCAAGAAATTTAAAATGTAAAATGCTATAGTTACGAATCAAATCCCATTGATGCCATTTGTACCCAATAATCACGTACAGAATAATGCCTTGAATGAGTATTGGTATTAATTTGTGAACATCATCTAAGACATAATTATATCTTTTGTGTAATTGTAAGTGAATAAACTAAAAAATATTTTTTTTGTTTCAATATTATTTATTTATTTTTCCTATTCTTTATTTTAATGTTATTTGTTTTAGAATTATTTTAATATTATATTCTTCTTGTTTTTTAAGTATTTTTGCATGAATGTATGCCTTTTAAATATGAAAGATGCCTTAAATATGCAGTTCTTCAATGAGAATAAAATTTATAATCTCAACAAACATTAACTAATAATTATTGATTATAATTTCCCACTCAATAATGTAACTGTTATGTGTTATACAATTGTAATGTTATATTACAATTGAGTGGGAAATTATAACTAACAGTTATGTTATTGTTAACTAGTGTTAGAT